TATTCTCTACCTCTCTAAACAGCTTGATCACCATGGAGGTCAACTCATCTAATGATTCTGTGGGTAATGAGAAAAAAAAACACACACTTGAACACAGTTTAGCTTAAAAGTTAACAGACAATAAGTAGCTTATATTATGATTCTGAAGAGACTGCCAATAATGTAATAATAATAATTTGTAACAATGTTAATGGAACAAAAAAGGTGCACCTCAACTGCAAGATTAGTGCAGCATACAGACAGTGTACATCACGGACATACAAGAGTTAGCTTCTTGCGCTGTAACATTAGTTGGAATATCCTACAACAAGGGTTTTTTGTGATTGTTGGGAGTATTCGCAACAATAAAAGAGTAAAGGATTAGGTAAAGGTTTAAACAGAATAGAGGATGGGCCAAATATAGTGTGGGGGATTGTTCCTACATGGATTTTTCCAGTGCCTAATGTAGATTTGCAACAGAGCAGAAAGAGAATGGACTGATAGGAAAGTAGATGACATTGGATACGTGGTACAAGATTATGTGTTATTGTGTTCATCACATTTAATGCTGCAGCTGGTAAAGGTGGGGCAAATGTTAATAACAAGCCAACTTGTATAATTATTTTACATACTGCTGGGTAGTAATAAAGTATCAGAACCAGTTATCTTAAATGTCTGATGTTTCATTGGCAGCTCAGTGAGCAACGGACAGGAATCAGCTGTTTGACTCACAGTGCACTGGAGTAAGAGCCAAAATATAGTGCCCCTCTTTTTTTTTTCTTTTTTTTTTTATTGTTCTGAAACAAAAATCACAAATCAATCCTAAATCAAAATGTGACAAGAATCAGAACTTAATCCAAGTGTGAGCTTGCCAAATATTCCCACCCATACAGTACAGCAAGTCATAACTAGTCTGTCTGAGATATTGGTATAATTACTGTAATGGCCATCTTTCAGAGACATGTCAGTAGCTGTTATTTTAGGTTGTGTAACATCAGCTCCAGTTTACTGGGAAATTTATTGTACTATTAGGTCATTTGTGTACCATATTGTTGTACTGTCTAACAAATGCTGCCATTAGGTAAAAGCTATTGTATCTTGGCAGTGGTCTAATTTGTTTATAGTAACAATACCACAATGGACTTGAATGACAAATTGCTTTATAATAAAACTTTAAATACTATGGTTGAGGCCATGTAACACAAGCCATACATGACTTGCAGTGTTTGTTCTCCTTTGTCATTTTTAGTAATTCACAAGTTCCTTGAGAGCTGTTATGGCTGAGTGAGGTTTTTAGAACATTTAAACATTACATTTGTAAGCAATTAACTCTTACCTCTTCCCAACACACACAGTCCCATGAGGTTAGAGGAGTAATATGTAGAGTGAAATTTCAGGAGCTCCTGGCGGATGTCAATCCCATCTTTGGATGGCCTGGTCTCAAGGGTCAATTTGTTACCTATAAGAATAATTAAATCAGCCCAATGGAAGCAGTATGTTAATTTCTTTTTTAACACACTCCTTTTCCATTATAAACATCACTGTCAGGATCAGGATCAGTCCCACTGTCAGACTACAAACATCTCCACATTCTTAGGTCTTCTGAGAACATGACGGGTTGATAAACTTTACTATCAGATTTCATAATGTTGGAGTGAAACTAGGTTATGTACATAAACAAGCTGCTTATCTGCCATTTGTGAATCAACTACAGCCTACACGTAGCACTTCTAAAGCAAGTCAGTTGTCAAGGTTTTTCTGAGATAGACAGAAAAGCAAAGCAATAATCTGGAAAAGATTATGTTGATCTGCTAAAAGACTGGTTGGCTTTCAGACCAGACTGAACCTCTTCTGTTCTTAACAGGAATACAGATTAGATATTTCAAGACTGCCATCAGGTGGCTATTTTGAGGTCAGAGCTTTTCGAAGTCCACTCTAATCTGGCAGGTCACCGAGACATGAAGTGAGCTCCCTTCATGCTATGAGATGTTAAATGTCAATGGAGTGAATCTGAATAGATGCAAATACTGTTCCTTTTATTTTATTTTTTTCAGAAAATTATTTTGTGAAGCAAAAACAAAAAGTGAGGCACCAACGCTGCTTAATATATTCAGCATTCAGCAAATGGGTAAATATTAAGTTGAATTAAGTTTCTCTGTACCAAAATGCTTTGTCTTCCAATACATAGGTGGTGTTAATATGAAGTCCATATTATTAAAGATATATTGTTCACTGTATGTCTTCATGGACACAGACTGATACAGATATGACAGAGTAGAAAAAATGAAGGATGTGATGATACAGTGGTAAGCAGGGATCTGGTGAAAACCCTGCAGAGTTTCTACCTGTTCCAAATTTACTGAAGGGGTGGTCTTTGTTGCCAGTGGCCTTCTCCAACTGAAATAGCCTCCAGGCATCATTCATCAGGTTCTTTTCATGTTCAGAATCCACCGCATTCACCTCCCGGTCCTTACAGCTCTCATCAAACAATGGGCACAGAAAGAACTGTGCAAACCTACACAAATTGCAAAGTGGCAAGTGTATTTACATTTACAGTGTGGTTCAGTATGCAGAACAAATGTTCAAATGTACACTAAAAGCACTTTAAATCTAAGTAATTTTTGACATATAAAGATTTGCTTTTTCAGTAGTAACCTAATGCTTGTTGGTGTATAGGACCATTTGTAGACACGAAAAGGGCATGAAAATGGTGAAGAAAATATTTGTATAAGTACAATATGAAAGCAGCTGCCATGCAAATGAGATAACGATAAGCAAACAACACTTTTAATGTTATGCCCATCATTTACTGCTGTAGATTTGAAGATGGATAACAGATAGCATATTGTCCCAAGTCATGTTTAAAGACATTGTTGGATCAGGCAGAAAATGTACTGTTTTTTTTTTTTAGATCAGTAAGAAGTTCTTTTGAAACACTCCCACCTTGCCCCTTGCTATAAAAATCTGATGACACCATAAGAGCCCTCTGGTTGTCATTCTTTGTAAAATGAACTTCAGCTCATCACAAAATGGTGGGTCTAGAAAAAAAAAAAACTCTGATCACAAGTAACCAATTGTGTTAACTGATTAAAAATTTGGATATCATTGCAAAGATATAGATAAAATAATGTGGCCAGCTAAGAGCACAGGGACTTTTCAGACATAATGCGCTTTTATCAAATAGGCAACATCATCAATATTTCAACATACTCTGCACTGTCCTTTCCTACCACTACACTCCAGATGGCCTTCACAATTCACAGGTGGAACAATTAGCCTATGCCACAAACAGGTGATTGCTTAGACCATCATTCATTTATAAGTAGGTAAGCTTATCCCCATAAGTTAAATTCTAACACTGCTCAACTGTCCTCTCCAAACCACCAAAGCTGACACAAGAGCAGTGCCCCCTGCAAGGCTGAGGACTGAGGATTGGAAGGCTCTGCTTCATGAAACAGGCAAGTGACAGACCTGCAGATAAACGCTGTGATGACAGCGTTGTGGATATTGTTACATCTGTCGACCATTTCTACAGTGACATCAGCCATTCGTGCATAACCTGCCTTTTTTTTGCAGCTGCACCGAGTGCAACCTTTGAAAAAAGTCATTCGCACCTTAAATACATACATTTTGATCACCTGCAGTCTGAAGCCCTGGCATGTAAACATGGTGAACAAAATACCGGACACCAGTTGAGTCTCCCAGGTTGTCAAATAGTTCATTTCAGGTTTGGTAACTATGACTAATATATACAGAGAACAAGTCATACCAAGTGCCAAATGCCAAAGTCCACACAAATTAATGCAGCTGACCTTACACACACACACACACATACACACACACACACACACACACAGTATCCACCTAAGCCACACATAAGATGTACTTATTAGACAAATTATTTTTCGTGTAGGCCATTATCAATCCAATTAAATGAACAGGAAATTACCTATCTAGTGCTCCTTGCAAGTGCTCATGGGACACATCAAAGTAATAGTTGGTATGCTCTCCACTGGTAAAGGCATTGGAGCTGCCTGCGTGTTCGCTGAGGAACTGGCTATACTCGTTTTCCTTAGGATACTTCTTTGTTCCCAAGAACAGCATGTGCTCACAAAAGTGCGCCAGGCCTGAGATGTTGGCTGGGTCTGATAATGAGCCTGTTAAATTAAAAAAGAAAAAAAAAATTGATTAAAACCTCACATTAATTTGTATCTCTTTGCACATTAAACTTCACAGATACAACACCATAACCTTTCACAGCTGGCCAGACCAGATGACCAGAACTGAGAGTGGAGAAAAAGCTACAGCTACATTTATATACAACACATAGTTTTTTAATCAACCACCTTAAATCAACACATAAAAAAGTTATCTTAATAATATGACCCAAATGAGGAGCAAGCAGTTAGCTTCTACTCTAAGAGACTGCTACAGTGTACTAGCCAGGCTAGTGTGCCAGTGTAACATTTCTCATTTTCCCTTCCTCTGATCTTTATAGGGTGTGGTAAAAATGTCACTGTGCACAAAAAACTTGGAAGTTTTAAGAATTTCATAATCATTTCTTTCTCCTAGAGTAAACACAACTAACTACTGTATTTAATTAGCCTGAAAGGGGAGGAGCGCAACATTTTTTTCTGATGTGTTTTAATAATAATGTGGCTTATTTCCATAGCCTACAGGACAGAGAATAGTTACATATTTTGCATGTCTTTTCCCTATTGCTTACTAAAACTGTATTATAAGTATCCCCTCAAGGAGGAAAGGCATATTAAAAAAATACATCACTACCTGGGAGTATGATAATTATGAAAGAACCTTACCGATGTGGACATCCAATGCAGCTGAGGATTTGTCTGTTGTTGGGTCACTGATAAGTATGGCTTTGAGGCCATTGGTGAACTCCAGGCCTCTGTAGACACGTTTGTCCTCAGGAGAGCGAATTATGTCAGTAACCACCCTCTTCACAGCTGGGTCAATCATTTTGACTGGCAAGGATGACACCAGCCTGCAGTATAGGGAATCAAACAGGTTAGATTTAGCATGACATGATGGCCTAGGGAGATTTTAACATTAAAATTAGTCCAGTATCTGTTTTGGTAAGGCACACCACACTTTGGGAACAAAAGTCATAAGTGACATTTGTGTACGATATATTATTCAGACAAAGATGTATAATAATACAACGTTTTGGCCAGAACCCAAGAAATAGCCCTCAGTGAAGTTTTAAATTACCTTCACTGATTTAAAAAATGTCACAATTCAGTCAACTAGACATTCATTTAGATTCTAACGTTATAGCCATGAAATCCAAGGGGCAAGTAAACAGTAAACCAGTCTTATGCTGGTTTACTGTTTACTTTACCCTTGCCCAGGTCTCTATTTTTAAGTACTCTAATTTTATTCCTATTATCTCATTTCACCCCGTGACCCCGTTCAGGGACTAAGCGTAGAAAATGAGATGAGTATCTCATTTCAATGAGCATTCCTTTGCCCATCTGCATTGTTTACTGCCCGTTTATACTGCTTATTTTGCATTATTTGCACTGTTTGTTGCTTGTTAATACTGCTTATTTTGTTATATTACACAGCCTTATGCTGGTTTACTGTTTACTTGCCCCTTGCATGGGGATATGTACATACATATTGAGAGCTGATGTACCAGAGTCAAATTCCTCGTGTGTCCGACACACCTGTCCAATAAAGCAGATTCTGATTCTGAAATCCAACTGGTAAAATCAGTATACGAGAGACTGCTGTAGCCCAGCTTCCAAAGAATGACGTTAAAAAGTTTATTTCGCTTAGAGAACACGATGTTTTGAACAACAGTTTCAAAAATATAACCAATTACCCTTTATATTAACTTTACTGATATAGTTGCTGCTTTAATACAGGGTCACCTAAGAGTTAACGTTAGCCAAACGAAAAGGTTAGCTTAGAAAAATGTATTCCTAACAAAATAAAAAGCATTTAAATCAGTTTGCTGTTAGGTAGTCAACTGAAAAGCGATTACGGCTACTCTGCAGTGAGTACAGCAGAGTTTAGCTATCAAAATCCGATAGCTAGAGAACATAAAATCACTATTCATAAAAGGGAAACTAGCGTTAGCTCGCTATCGTTAAGTCAGCAACAAAAGCTACAAATAGGTTCGCAAGCTGGGTTGATTTATGTACCTCTGTGGTAACCTTCAATTCTCCGCTGTCGTAAAAATGTATTATAATTACATAATATCAACAAAAGGGCCGCACAAAACGCATTTAGCTACCTCCATATGTTGCAACAAAGCTAACCGTTTCAGTCTAGCTTGATCAACAAACCGGTCCGGCTTTAACAACTCGAGCGGCTAATGTTAACCCTAGTTCACTTGCTAGCTAACTAGATTGCCGTTTGTTGTGAAAATGACTCGATTATTTTTATCAAGAAGTTATGAAATTTGCCTGACAAAACTTACCTAAAATTTTGGTTAAGATAGAAGCCGCTACCTACTGACTGGAAATATCTCTTAAACTGGGCTCTTCGGTTAAAGCACTTAAACATACTTTTTACCCATAGAAAACAAATCTTGGCTTTACGCCGCCATCTTTGCTCACATTAGACACAAGCAATCGAACACAAAACGGAACTTAATTTAGGTTATCCAATCTACAGTAAAATTTGCCGACTAACACATTTGATCACAAAACAAACATCATTATACTGATTATTTAAGTGACTGTCACGCGGAATGCTGCATGGCCTATTTTTTAGAATTGCGTTGTGTCATTGATTCTGATATCGATAAGGTAGCCTGTAGATTTTCATTGACGTTAAGCATGTCATCGGGTTTCAACCTTTGTCCTTTCTTTCTTTATACATATATATATGTAGAGAGAGAGAGAAGAGAGAGAGACTAAAGCTGGGTCATAGATTTGACCCCAAATATTAGATTTCATGACTAAAGTTTGTTTTAACTAACTGTCTTTACTATAGCTGCACTATGCTATAAATAACGTAATATTGCTAAATATAGCTATAGTATAATTATATGAAAGTGAAGTGGTCTATGCAAAAGAACCCAAAGACACTCACTTATTCATTATACAAAATGAAACATTACAGATGAATTTTATTTTATAAAAGGCCATGTAATCCATTTATTGTTGCACTAAAATAACTGATAATGAAAGCCATAAATATTGTGCATGCTTTTCGAATTTGTAAAGTTGTGGTTGTACAATGGCTGAAATCAATGCATCATATAGCCACTAGAAGGTGATAAATCTCTTTTACTTGTACATTACAATGACATTCATTACCGGGCAGCACAAAACCAGGAGATTAGTTAAAAAACTAAGTTATAATAATTGTGTAAAGATAGTATTAGACTACATAACAATATTAAATAAAGTACATAAATAAAACAGTTTTATACTTTTTTTTTTGTTTGCAGTTTCCAATTTTTCTAATGTACCGTTTGCAGTCCATTTCAGTTACTACAAAACATGGCTTTTATAAAATGTTCATTGACTTTAGCTGAAGAATAATTTGTGAAACTGTACAGGACATTTTACAAAAGAAAATCAGAGCAAAATGATATCAACATCTTTTATTAACATACTTTTGTAAAAAGGCCTTTAAGGGAGGAAAACTGATGGATAATCCTGAAAAAAAACTTGTTTTATTTTATTAATAATCAAATATTTAGATGGCAAATTGCAAATCCTCTTTCAGTTATGGTCAGATATCTTCCTAGCAAGGGACAACATATCAGACAGAGACCAAGCCTTTCCTGAAATAATGCATGTTTATTGTGGTTAATAGAAAAGTATATTTGACCAACAGGAGTTGCAGTAGGTTCTATTTGAAGATTTTATTTATGCACTAGAATCGATAGTATCAGAAATAATGGCGAATTGTTTTGGAGACATTGGAGTGTTACATTTCTCAAAAAATTAAGAGTAAGACAAAGGCCACTGGATATGAATAGCTGACTAACCAAATTATTGCATGTTCAAAAGCATGACTTCTTCTGATACAAAATGTCTCTATTACAGACATAAATCTCTTTGGGAATAAAAATTGTGCCTGCATATCCAAGACCAGGAAAAGGACATTTGCTTATAGTCTTATCAGAAATTTTACCTGTCAGTTTGAACATTTCTCATTACAATTACACATGACCTCTAAAATACACCTCTGATTGAATAGGCCTAATGTTATCTTTCATTTTTCAACTAACGACAAGTAATTTTAGGAGCGGTTTTGATAACCTTTAGCAAGTTATTTTAGGAATTTGAACATTTTAACCCTCCTGTTATGTTGCGGGTCAAATTGACCCACGAATATAACTGCTTTAAATGAGACAAATATTTGATATGACGAAATGAACATAACAGGAGGGAATGTTCAATTCGGCATATCAAATATTTGTCTCATTTAAAGCAGTTATATTCGTGGGTCAATTTGACCCGCAACATAACAGGAGGGTTAACATAAAAATCTGACAGGGCAGAAGTGGTTTTCTGACACAATAACAGTACATTTATTTTTGATTACAGAGCAGATTGTCAGATGATATCTGGAAAGGGGAAATGATCTTGAGTGCGATGTTCACGGGATTCACTCTGCTCCTCCTCTTTTAGGTGTTGATCCTTTACTTCTGTAAATTACATTGAACTGGACAGTGAGAGTAACAGACCTTCAGACAACCTGGAGTAAGAATGGAGGAATCCAACAACAGAAGAAAGCCAACCAAGAAAAAAGTTGTTGCAGTCGTGGGAGGTGGTTTGGTAAGACAAAAGTGAAAGTGCATTTTAACTTTTATGTACCTAATGTCACTTGATCTGTTGACAGCATTATGACTTTTACTGGCATAGCAACTGTGCTCTTATCGGGGTTCAACAAAGACAGGAAATGGAAGACATTCAATTCTGTACAATGTAGTATGGAATCTATTTGCATTTAAACATGTGGAGTAAAGAAAATAAGGTTACAATAATGTGTTTTGAATGGCTATAGGCCTACTGCCTATATAGTGTTAATATTGTAGTGGTAAGGGATAATTATTATCATGGTTTAGGAAGAACTCAAATCTTTTACCACTGCGTAAGTACTCCTTTACAAGACAAAGTCCTATATTAAAAACGTTACTTAAGCAAAAGTGTGTAAGTATAATCTGGGAAATGTACTTATAGTATTAAAAATAAAAATACTCAATGCAGAAATGCAGATTTTGTGACTGTTATACTGTTAGTGGCATTTTATTGTTGTAGTTGGTGCAGCTCATTTTAAACTATTTTGTACAAAGCTGCAACTAATAATGATTTTCATTATAGAGTAATCTTCTGATTAATTGATTTATTTACTGTCTGGCTTGTAAAAATACAGAAAACGGTGAGACGTGCCACTGCCATTACCTAGAGTCCAAAGTGACACCATCACACTGTTTGTTTTGTTTGACCTATAGTCCAGTCCTCAGAGTTATCAGCAATTATTAAAAGAAAAAGCAGTGAATTGTCACATATGAAAAGCTGGATCCATGAAATTCTTTACATTAATAAATGAAAAATTACTTAAATTTAATAAAATAGTTTCTAATTAATTCTCTTTGAAATGTTACTTTCGCTCTATGTACTGTTAAATAGTTGAATCTATAACAAAACATCTTCTTTTGTAAGCTCTTATATGTTTTATATGCAAAAATTGTAATTTGTAAAGTAACTAGTAACTATAGCTTTCAGATAAATGTATGGAAATGAAAACCACTGTAAACTTATGTATGACAATTTAAAGCACAGTGACTTTGGTGAGATTTTCAAAGACTTGTTCTTATTTCCCTTCATCCTTCAGGTTGGGTCACTGAATGCCTGCTTCTTTGCCAAAAGAGACTTTGTTGTGGAAGTCTTTGAAAGCAGGGAAGGTAGTATTCAAGATTTATTTTGAAGTCTACTTTTCCAAGAAAATAATACTGGCACAGCACTCTTCCCTCTTAGGAAATCACCCACCCATCAAATTTTCCTTAACAGTATACACACACAGGTAAATAGAAGTATTGCTTTGGTAACACATAACCAAACATTTGCTTTGTGATTTCGGTCAGATATCCGGAAAGCCAAAATTGTGAAGGGAAGAAGCATCAACCTGGCTTTGTCTCACAGAGGCCGACAAGCCCTGAAACATGTTGGAATAGAGGAGAAGGTATGGTGATTGAGTTTATTCACTGTTTAACTAGTCCAATGGAATGTAATGACTGATTCATTAGAAGTAAGAGCATATGTTAGTGAATGTACTGAACTATGTAAGCAAACAATTTGGCATACACTCATGTACATCATGCATGATTTCTACCCATGTTACACCCAAAAAAAAATTTTTAGCATGACAAAAAAAGCCTGGCCTACGAGGTTTTCACATATACTATACTATACTATACTTTCAAGGGCAAATCTGAGTGACCAAATGGACTAGCTGACTGACCATGCCATGACACCCACTTTTTCTACCCATCCATCCATAATCTATACTGCTTATCCTTCAGAGGGTCATAGGGGGGCTGGAGCCAAAAGTCATTAACAGTTGTAAACCACAACCTTACACAGAATTATTTAACCTTAATGGAAATACCTTTTCCTCAGATTGTCTCCAAGGGAATCCCCATGCATGCAAGAATGATCCATTCACTGCTTGGGAAACAGTCCCCAATCCCTTATGGCAAGAAAGGCCAGGTAAGGCTATTATTGGTGTAATCTGAAAACATATTTTATTATACAAAACACAAAGAGAGCCAAGATATGACAAAGTGTCAAGTTACCAATTGTAGGAGATCTGCCAACTACTAAAAAGTGTACACTAACATTTCTCTGATGCAAGACATGCACTCTTAATCATATGCTAGGAGAAGCTCCTGCAACATACCCATACAATCAGACAAGTAACAAACTGAAAAAAGTCTCAGTTAACTAAGCAACACGATAATGACTGATTCATTAGAAGTAAGAGCATATGTTAGTGAATGTACTGAACTATGTAAGTTGTCATTTTGACTTTCTGGTAAACTACTTCTTTTATAGGCACCCTATGTTTATAACATTTCTACTATTTCCTAATATTCTATGCACTGCTGAAAATAGAAAAAAGACAAATATTCTGCTACATCAGTGTTACATGTCTTTTTGGTTGCTAACATATGGTAAGAATTGCATCATGTATACTGCACTGATTCAGTCTGCAGATTAAATATTGATTTTTACTACTTCTGTTAGACCTCACATGCACCAGCATACTGTAGGCCCTTTCTGTGTGTTTCTACAAGCACCCACATACAGAGACACAAAGACACCGCAGTATGCATGTGCACACACATGTTAGAAAAAAAAGCTCAAGCATGCACAAAATTATGAACCGTCCTAGTGAAAGTGAAATCCTGTAGAATCATGACAGTATGCAGACACAAATCAAACCCAATCGGCTTCCTGTTCCTATTTGAAAAGAACAATAATACCTGTACTTCTGTTTGGGAAGTTGTAGTATCGGTAGAACTGCACTCTAATATAAATTGTTTTCCTTTCAGTACATCCTGTCAGTAGACCGAGCCAATTTGAACAAGGAACTGCTAACAGGTAAGAACATAAAGAGTGTCTCTCTGGACCTCAGCCAAAACAGCCTTGGAACCATTAATATGTAACATGTTGGTCTCATGTCTGCACGAGTGCCCACAGCACTTATAAAAAGCCTGTAAACATCAATCCTACGAAGCTGTACCTAGTAACATTTCTGTAACACTCACAACATGGCACAAATATGTTGCATGCTATTTGCTAGTGAGTTGAGTGACTGATACTGTCTGTGTGTGAGCTTCATGTGAGTCTTTGAACTGCACTAGTACATCAGGTGATTTAAGGGGATTTTTCAATGTTTGCCTAATATTTAATGAAGTACCTCTGTGTATACTTGGAGATAATGTGTGACAGCATGGGTCTGCCTTCAATTCAATTTCCTGTATGTGCTGAAAGAGAGGCTGACTATAAAGCCATCGCTTTTATCTGGGTTGATTGACACTCATGATGTGAACAGTGAGATAAAGAGATTTCTCGAAAATGTGACAACTTAAACACACGCAGAAAGCTAGATATACTGAGTGCTGTGGTGTGTTGATGAGATTTATGCATCAGCATGAGGCCATTTCCCTTCAATGGCAGATTGATTTAACTGCTGCCAGTCTGTGTCCTTACTTATTAGTTTCCTGTATGTTTTAATAAGATATCATTTGGGGTGGCTGTGGCTCATGAAGTAGGGCAGTTGACCAGCAAGTTGGTGGTGGCTTGACTAGCGCCAGTGCATGGCAGCCTGTCGTCATCGGTGTGTGAATGGGTGAATGGTGTATGATCTTCTGTAAAGTGTTTTGGCCAGTGCAACACACTGTGAGAAAGCGCTATATAAAATACAGTCCATTTACCATTTGTCATATTAACTTGCTGCTCTCATGTCATGATGCACCAGTAATGTATGCTGTTTTTATAAAATTGTACTACCACAGAAGCAGAGACATATCCAAACACAAAGTTGAACTTCGACCACAAACTACTGGACTGGAGTGAAGAAACAGGGCTAATGACCTTTGCCAGGTAAATAGTTACCAAACTAGTACATGTACAGTTTGCGCACCCTTGTACTTACATAACACACACAACATATATAACATATGGAGGGCATTCCAGGAGTAGCACTCTATAGACCATGTTCCCTCTTTGTTCCTGCATGTATATGCATGTGACCCAGTGCATTTTAATTGATCAGGGTCTGAGCAGATCAAACTTGATGTGTGACTTCTTAGTCTGGCTGGCTGTTCTTAACATAAATGTGAAACACAATTTACAACCTTGTCTGATCAAATGCACATACGTAAGAGCCTGATATTTGGGGTCAAGACTAATTAAATGTAAAAGACACTGCAACATTGTTTGTTGTTTTTTAAGTAACTGGAATGGTGTTTAAAGTAATTCGGCAATACTAAACATCATTATACAGTACATCCTGCAGGGATCACTGAATAAAATGATGGGGTACTAAGAAAATATTCAGATATATTTAACACTGAATTGAACAGATACACCAATGTTTTTACTTAGGTAGTTACTGTGTGCCATATGTTAACAGTATCACGGTTTCAGAGACAACCTGTAACTCCCATGCAGCTTCAGGTAATCCCTGTAACTCCCACTTTCTCCTGTAACTCCCATGCAGCTTCAGGTAATCTTTCTCCTGTGGCATATTGAGAGATTATATTGAGGAATACTGGAACTGGCTGCCTGAAGCAGCTTGTAAACACAATAAACAGAACACACACATTACAAAAACTGTAAAATGTGGTATACATTTTCAGAGATGCCATTATGTGTAATCATCATAGCTTAAGTAAAAATCAGTATGATTTAGAAATACCTTTGACCACTCAATTGGCATGTAATACAGATATTGTCATAACCATTGTTTAATGTAAACTTGTAAATTAAATGCAGCTATTATTATAAAAATCATCTTTTTAAATCAAAATTATTTCTTGATCTTAAAATGAACCTTAAGGTTTGTTTTGTAAGGGCAAAGACTATCTGCAAATTTAATCTAAATATCTGCATGGACTACAGTAAAAAATGAGAAAAGTCTGTGGCCTGATTTTTCACTTTACTAGCGGGAAATCCAAAAAAGCAGCAGCTTGAAGTGAACTGCAGAGGGAAAGATCTTGTGTGTGCATGATGAAAAGGCCAGAGGTGAAAGCAGAAAAGCTCAAATGTACAGCTCTCAGTCTGTTTCTGAAGCAAATAACCTGAGGACTGCACACTTGAAAGATTTTCTCAAGCTAGGTAATCATAAAGAAACACTTTTTACACACCTGAGTGCCACCCTGGGTGATCAGTGCATACATAGGTGCTGGGGCAGTGCTTCTAGGAAGACTGATGAAGGTCTGTGAAAAGGTTGCCTTTTCTCATTTAATAACTTTTGTCCAGGCTGCTTATGGGTATTTTCCTAATGTTATGGATTCCCAGGCTAAGCATGAAAAGAATTAGCCAGATATTTAAGTCTTGTAATATAATTATTTAGCTTATATCATAGTCAATGTCAAAATACAGCACACTGAGGTAAATTTGTCATGTTACTGTTATGTTTCTCAGGTCAGATGGTTCCACAGAGCAGATCAAGGCAGACCTAATTGTGGGTTGTGATGGAGCTTTCTCTGCCACCCGCAAGCAATTCCTCCGTCGCAGGCTCTTCAACTACAGCCAGACTTACATCCCCCACGGCTACATGGAGCTCACCATGCCGCCCATCAATGGAGAGGTCAGTTGTCTGTACAGTATCCTCATTTTACTGACGGTTTTGACAGAGCCACAATTTTCAGCCAGAGTGGTGCACAGTCATGATTGGAAATAATATGCACAGTAGTTATGTTCATGTTTCATATTTTGTTACTATCCTCAGTTTGCCATGAAGCCAAATTATCTGCACATCTGGCCACGAAACACATTTATGATGATCGCCCTGCCCAACTTGGTGAGTGTCAGTTTTCTTCTTCTAATCTCTACCGTACTGTACTATCTACTGTAGCTGTGCTTTTTTTGAACTACAGATGTAAATTAAGCAATGTTAAAATGTCTATTTGCAGAGTTATTGTGTCATATCATTTGGCAACCACTAGCTGTTACTGAAAGACAAAGGCATTATTAAATCAGAAAACGTCCGAGCATGATTGAACCCTGGGATATTCTCAGAGAGTTAATTGGCCTCATTTCATAGACAGGAGTGGCTTACTCATCAGAAATCTTTGACAACAAAATGTCCAGTCCCCTAAGGTTCACTCTAGGTCTCACACAGCAGTGGCGTCCTCCTTCTTATCTGTGTCTCTGTTTGTACTTCTTAATCTCACAATGATTTTTTTATTTTGCACAACTCAGCACTGCAGTTTTGCTCTCTTCAGTTAGGCCAGGTGAAGGCAGCTTACTTTGGAGTGCCTTTGCACTGTCACACAACACCCCAGCTACCAGGAACGCATTAAAGCTGAAAGAGAGAGGGAAAAAACACATCTTTGAGTCAGGAAAAAACTGTAATAACATGTTTGACACTTTATAAATGCAATTCAACAATCAGACATTCCTCTATGAGTTAACAAATCCAAAGACAGACCTGACTTACTGTCTTTTCAATATGTGTCTGACTATACATTTTGTGTTGGGCTCGGTCTTTATTTGCATACCTTGATATCTTATCTTCCAAACTGTCCATCTAATTTAAAAACACAATCTTTGATGATTGACTCTTGCAATGAATTTGGATATAAGATTTTCAGGGTTTTATTACAGTGTTGAACTATCACAGAGACATTGTATGTTTAAGGGTTCAGCTGTATAAACTGCTATGCAGTTTTAGTTTAGCCCAACTAGCAGCATAGCCCTACAGTGGAAATGTTGCTCCCTCTGCCTTTGAAAGTCAGATATGTTCACAAAGACAGCCACACTTGTCTACCTATATATGCTCAGACAATCATGAATCCAAAGTAAAGGAAAAGAGCGTGTACACAAAAGGTGGGAAGCAAACGGTTTAACCAACGGTAAGCAAACTAAAAGACTAGTACAAAAAAGCAAAAAAGGCAAGAAAAAGAAAATACAGTCAGGGAAAAAATTATTTGAACCCCAGCTGATTTTGTAAGTTTGCCCACTCACAAAGAAATGATCAGTCTACAATGTCAGTGGTAGGTTTATGTGAACAGTGAGAGACAACAATAACAAAAAAATCCAGAAAAATGCATTACAAAAAAAGTTATAAAGTAATTTGCATTTTCATGAATGAAATAAATATTTGATCCCTTTGCAAAACGTGCTTTAGTACTTGGTGGCAAAACCTTTGTTGGCAATCACATAGGTCAGACGTTTCTTGTAGTTGGCCACAAGGTTTGCACAAATCTCAGGGGGGGATTTTGACCCACTCCTCTTTGCAGATCCTCTCCAAATCATTAATGTTTCGTGGCTGATGTTTGGCAACTTGACCCTTCAGCTCCCTCCACAGATTTTCTATGGGATTAAGGTCTGGAGACTGACTAGGCCACTCCATGACCTTAATATGCTTCTTCTTGAGCCAATCCTTTGTTGCCTTGGCCGTGTGTTTTGGATCATTGTCATGCTGGAATACCCAACCACGACCCATTTTCAATGCCCTGACTGAGGGAAGGAGGTTCTCACCCAAGATTTAACGGTACATGGCCCCATCCATCCTCTCTTTGATGCGGTGCAATTGTCCTGTCCCCTTGGCAGAAAAACACCCCCAAAGCATAATGTTTCCACCTCCATATTTGA